TCTAACATTACACAAAAGAAGATCAGCAGATTAGTGAGACAATATTGTACCAACATTGATATCAAGCTTGTATTTTGCCACCACTTGCAAAATAGAGAGTTTATTTAACGTTAAGGATGTAATCCCCAATGATATGTGCTCGCATGTTACTTATAAATTTACATGTGCAAACTGTAATGTTTGTTATAATTGGTGAAACTCGCCGACACCTAAAAACACACATCAAGATACATCTCTCAGGGGACAAAAATTCTCATATCCTCACACATCTTAAAGCCTCAGCAGACTGTCAAAATGCTTACTCAGAACGTAGCTTTGCAATTATTGACTCTGTGCAAACTGATTAGCAGTTAAAAACCAAAGAGGCTATGCACATCAAGTGGGAACAACCCCTTTTGAATCAATAGTTAGCACACACTAAACTTGCCCTTATTGTGTAATCTTTGCTATACAAAATGGTTTTCTTTTCTATATTGATTTGAGTCAGAAATTGTGTTTTTGATTGTATAATCAGTGGTGGATCCAGGGGAGGGGTGCAGGGGGTGCGCATCCCTCCCTGGTTCGACTTTGTGTGCCTACTTCAAAGATAACTAAATAATGTTTTTCCTTTTGATTCTAAGGGATGCACTCCTCCCTGGGATAAATTTGTGTGCAGCACCCCTCCCCTCCCTGAACAAAATCCTGGGTCCGCCCCTGATAATATATGGAAAGGTGTGCAACTCCGGCCGCCAAAATTCACATAGACCCTCACTTGGAGCTTAATATAATACTCAATATTATATAATTGTCTTTCCTTTAAGCTTCTTTTCAACTTTTTCTGTATGCACTGCGACAAGACATGATTAAAAATTTTAGATTAATTGACATTTTAAAAATTCTAAAAGCAAGCGACAGGGTTGAACGCAGTCATTTGCTACAACCAACCTGGGGGAGGGAAGAAGAGAAACCAGCAGGATTTCAGTCCATTTCAGATGACTTGAGTAGCTCTCAAGGGCCATTCCAGTGAGACAAATTATCTGAAATTTTCTTTCAAGACTTTGGGGTAATCTTGGTATTTTTTTTTGAAAAAGCTTTTCCCTGTTCCTGCTTTTCTGGTAATGAAGACTTTATGATTTTTGTTGACAATATTATTAATAAAACGCTGCTCGTTATTGACCTCCATCATGCAATTATCATACCTTTGTGCCATTCTAATAATAGATGGAAATCCTACTAGTTTGTCTTGATTACAGACTCACCTGCTGGACGGTATCTGGAAGGTCACAGGTGTGATTCCTGTTGATTAGCTAGTGACAATTATAAACATAACTAATAATTCTCTTCTAGATACCATCCTTTTATCAAAAACATTTGTTATTCATAAATGGCAATGATAGCTAAATATATCATAGTGAAAATTTCACAATAAATTAAAAGGGGTCAGGTGAAAGCAATTTTATAGCCCTCCCCCCTGCCCATAAATAATATGCTATGTGATGACAGTGTCCCTAATAAAATATTATTAATTAAGTTAAATTATATCAAGATTTTTTTTTTCAAAATCACTATGTGAATAGTGTAGTGCTATGATTGCAGTATTTTTGTATGTGAAATTTTCTTTTCGGAGATCTAAACACTTGAAATATCAATATGCAAATGAGATGACATAAATTCAAGACTAATATACAGTCGATCCCAAAAACGTTGTCCAAGTGAAAAGAGGTTTATAGGACAATAAATGTCACGTGTCTCATTAAATATTCAGTTTTGCGCGCGTGTGGAAATAGGAATCCGAACGTGCTGCATCACATGCGTGGCAGAAAATGTCGACGGCGGGTAATTCAAAACAAGTTCTTTCGACTTTAGAAGTTCGGATTTTGGACTCCAAGAAGAAGTCTAGCTACGTTGTAAGAAGTTTACCCAATTTTCCAGTGTTAGAGACCGTTTCAGAGCTACGTTCTGAGCTAGTGAAAGCCTTACCAGACTTAGAGAACGTTCTGCAAGACTGAGTAATGAG